TAACCCCTGTAAATGCAATTATTAATAAGAACACCTAATCCAAGCTCATGTTCTATGCTGCCATTTGTTTCATTAAGTGAGCTTTCACTGCTCCCTCTGCACTCTTATCACCTGCTGAAGAGCATGTGGAGGCTGGTGGCTTGTACAGAACTGGTATGATTTTTTTATGTGCACTGCTCACTCATTCATAGTCTTTAAATGACATTTGTTCTTACGAGCCCAGTGTCTTCTAAAAAAAATGACAGGAAGTTCTTTAACTCTTAGAACAAATTTGATAGGCAACATATTTCTCTCAGTACTTCAGGGTAGAGAATAGTGATACTTGCAGAGGGAGTTGATTGCTTGGGTTAACCTGGAGCTGCCTCCTGATTCTAGGTTTTTTTTCTTGCCACATTTTATGTGATACAAAGTGAGAAGTATAGAGGAGATGTGCTTTCCAGCAAATTCCTTTAAGCAGAGGAACCTTCTGGTGGGAGGCACTGGTTGCACTGCGGCCTTTTGCCCACCTTCCAGATTTGGGACTCCGCATTGCTGGCTTGGCTGGTTGAGCAGAGCATCTGCCTGGATCAGGGAAACTGGTGGTAGAGTGAGAAAGGGTCTGAGCCAGGGCAAATGAGTGCTGGCAGTGCTGTATGAGACCTAATCAGGTGAAAAGTGAGTTTTGTCATTGTTGATTATTCCCTTAAGTCTGAAAGCTTGCAATTTTTCTGAAAGCCTCAACTCCTAGATTATACTAATATAAATAAGACTTTGATTTTTCATTTAAGTGCAGCCACAAAATACTTACAGCTCTTCTATATGAAGAGAAAACTTTGAAATTGTAAAAAGACTCAGAACTGAGAAGGTAAAGCAGATGCCCAAATCTTATGAGTATAAGGAACCTGCCAAATGAGTTTTGAATGTTCATCTAATATTTAGCAAATGTTTTAAAATCCTATGCAAGTCATCAGAGATGTAAATAACAAGGAGAGAAGAAACAAAAGGAAATTACTTTTCCCCACATGGACATTAGACCACCGAAAATAACCACCACCTGCAACTCTCAGCTGAGATACCAATGACTGAAAAGCGTGTGTCCTTACTCGGAACTATTCATGAGCTGTTTGTTACCCCCTACCATGGTGGGAGGAGTACTCGAATGTTTAGAGCCTGTGAGATAATCCAGAGACTGCTGTGCAGAAGTAGTTTCCACTTATCTGCATTCCTCCTAAATAGGCTTCTAGATGCACTGCTCTCTTTTCCACACCAAGTAGGGAAGGAGCTGCAGCCTTGGAAGAAGTGTGCTGGGGGTGAAAGGGAGGAAGGAAGCGTTAGTCTGCTTAGAGGTATGACTGAACTGGCAAGGACTTTGTGGATGTTACGCAGGGCCATTGGCATGTTCAGGGTTACAGCTGCTGGCTTATGCCCTGAGGAATTCATTACCTTTCATTGTGTTTTGAATGTCTGCAGCTTTGAAGTCTTGTTGCTACTTCAGGAAAGGCATGAATTCCAGTCTGTGGAGGAGGCAGTAGTTGGCTGGTTAGAACAGGGAGCTGGAGGGGGACACTAGGGAGTTTGGGAGTTTTTTAGTTTGTTTGGTTGGTTGGTTTTTGTTTGGGTGTTATTTGGTTTTTGTTTGGTTTGTTGTTTTGGTTTGGTTATGTTATGTTTTGGTTTGGTTTGCCTGATCTGACATACTTGTTATTTTGTTTTAAATCTTGACCTGAGATATTTCATTTTTGGTTCCCTTTGAAAGGCTCCATACTGAAGTGCTGCTGTACCTACTTCCATCTGTGTCTACAGGAAGTTCTCAGGGGGAACTAAGAGCAGCAGAATGTTTCCAGATCCACCTGATCCCGCAGCCCATGGACTGGCTGTCTGGCCAACCCGGGAGGGACTGCTCTGTCTAGGGATATACCATCCAAACACAGCACACTGACTTACAGCCTGTACCTTCCCAAATGTTAAAGAGAGCAACCCTTGGCTGTGCTGGGGTTGTGGAGCCAGATGTGCTGTCTGGCTGGGCTGTATATCTGCTCCCAGGATCAGCCTTAGGGCTGAGATAGGCACAATAGGACTTCAGTATGCGGTTTGGGTTAAGCATATGGGTGATAAGTAGAGTAACTCTGTAGACCTGATGCAAAAAGGCACTGAAGCATATTCTCAACTCCAAATGTGCAACATGATTTTCCCATTCTAAACTGCAGTTGTTTGCACCTGCATGCAGCAAATACATGAGCAGCTTTAAATGGAGTTAGGCCAATCCAGGCGCTTGGAATTGGTTGCACTCACCCTGAGCACACAATCCCTTCTGTGTATGGGAACCTGCATTAAGTATGTGTTGGTTTCAGTACTTGGATAATGCTGATTAGTTTCACAGTAAGTGAACACTGAATGCTTGTTATTTAATTGAATTCCCTAATTGCTAGTAAGTGTGGGAATATGTAGAGAAGTAATTTTCTAGATCTAGTACTAATGGGTTTTACACCTCCTCTATTTAATTTTAGCAAACTTCTTTAATTATCACTTTATTTTGAACCTCAGATGACTTCTTGTGAAAAGTAATTTGTTCTTTTAAGGCTAAATAATTGTGCTTTTTTTGGTGTAAATGCTTTCCCTAGTACTTTTCTTAATGCAGTGGAGGCCACTGCTTCACATTGTAAGCAACGTCAAGACTCTTGAATCAAAAAGGCATTCAAGAGTTTTATGGCAATTGTGATGCAACTGTTTGTAAACAAGGATGAGACAGTTTAAAAATCATAAAGCATGGGGTCACAAGTTTACTTGCTCAGACACTAAAATAACTGATATCACTACCTTTGTGGAAGGGGACCAGTGTTTTTCTGGGATTGCAGCAGCAGAGGACCCTGCCTTTGCTCAGGCTGTGTGCTCATTCCTCTTTCCTCTCCTGAAAAGGTAGTACACTAAATTCTGCCCCCTATGCCCCCTTGTCTTTTTTTATCTTTATCAGAGGATAGCATCCAGCATCCAGATGCTTAGAGTGGAAGAAACTTTTCTGTTGACTTGGGTGAAGCCCATGGAGACAGCCAGAGCTGAATCCAAACTTCTGGGTACCAGCAACCTCCTCAGCTTCAGAATGGCTTTAATCCTAAAGCTGAGTTGACACACACTGAAATACTGTCCCTTTTTGCCATTTTCTCCCTGCACTATGTAGGGACCTGTATTTATCCAGTGAGTTTAACTTGTAACAGTTTTCCATACGTAGAAGAGCATGTTACTACTACAAACTTCCTTAACCTGGATAGTCTATCATTTTAGCCTGTTTCTTTCTGTTTGGCTTGAACTAAAGCGTCTTTCTGTAACTGAAATGTATGGAGATCAGAAAGACCATTATTATTAGGTACATTATTATTAAGTACATTAAGTACAATTTGTTTAAATCTTCAGGTTATCAACCATTATTATTTCAGGATACTTTGTGCTACTAGGAAATAGTAGAAACAAAAAGTAGATACTGAGGAAAAGCAAGGCATCAGAACCCTAAGTTGGGCTCAGCTTTTGTTGTTGACTGGTTTTAGACTGCACTTTCCACTTCGCAATGTGACTTATTTGGATCGACCTGCAGTTAGGCTATATCCTGCTGAGCCTTTACCAACCCATGCTGTATATCTTCTGTGGATATTTTAATGAAGAAAATATTCAAATAATTAAGTGTTGGCAGCTGTCGCTAGGGTTGCATGCTGCAGAGACCAGATATTGGCTAGTTTTACAGGCTGGTCTGTTACACTATTTGCTTGTTGAATTTTCTTCCTTTTGAGTATCTGTTAAGCATGCTCATTGTGTTCTGGCTAGTTAGGAATGGGGATGCTTGAGGCAAGAAAGCAAATTCAATTCCCTGAAGTAAATTTCCACTTCTTCCAATGTCCCACTGGTGCCTCCAGTTCATATAACAGGAAAACAAGTATCTTCAGCTCTATTATTTGTTTTCTTGTTTTTCTGAGCAATTTTTCCATCTCCTTCACAGTTTAGGGTCTTTGTTTATGCATGATTTTGCAGACCCAGATGCATAATTTCTGTTTGTGCCACGGAAGCCATTTCTCACTCTTTTTAGTGCTGACTTTTGATCAGGAGAAAAAGAATTGGAGCACAAAATTGAAAGGTTTGTAGTTCCACCTAGGACCTTTAGAGAGTTGAGCGATCTTCGCAAACAGTCTTGTTTTGCAGAAATGCCACTCTTTGGCTATTCAACATCTGTGGTGTGACATTGATCCTGTTTGTTTGCTGCAGGTATCAAGTACCCCCAGGAGTGGGCACTGGGTATGAACAGGCCCCACAGTTGTCCTCTGTAGACTGTGAGGACTGTGAAAACTGACCTTTTTTTCTCCTCTGGTCCCCATCTGGTAGTTTTTCCTCTTGGACTGGTAATTTCCCAGGAGGAAATTAAAGCTTCTAATTTTAAAGTTTCACTTATTAGAGTCTGATCCTGAAAATATTAGCAGCACTGCAGGACTGGAAATTATTGATGTAGGAGTTAATGTGCATTTTGACAACTGTATCTCTTTTGTATTGTAGTATCTTTCAAAGGAGAGACTGATCTGAGTAACAGATCACCTTGAAATCTGGCAGTGATGTAAGGAGAGGGTTTTAGCCTAAAGTTCTTAGTCTCACAGATATATATATATTTTTTTCTTAAATGTGATGCACATTTTATATATTAGAAGCTAGCTAGATTTGCACTTTGCTGCATATGGACTCTTAGCCTTTAATCAGTATCTTATGATTTAATGTTGTGGATTACTCTTAAAGTCTGAAAGTAGTACCTGTATTGGGTGGAAATACACTTTAATTTCTGATAATAATCTGCACAAGATGTAACTGGTGGTTGACATAAATCCATTTGGGTTTTGAAACTAATTTTTTTAAAGAAAATATGACTTTAACCTTGACTTTTGTGATGAATGCTGAGCATCATGTCCAATGCTATCTGCACAGACATAAAAAATGATGTAACCACTCTGCTTTTCACTTTAAACAGAGATAAACAAAATCCAGAAGTGAAAAGGGCCAGTCCCTCCACCACAATGAGCTCTGGTAAGTCTGTGTTGTTTTCCACTTGCTTTAATTGGCATTCCTTTTTATTACTATAAATATTTCTGTCTGTTTCTGATGCAATTACTCTTTCTTGTCTCTTCTTCTGCCTCCCAGAAAAGAATCAAAGCCCTAGAAAACTTAAGGAATCTGACTATTAAGGCAATAGTGGCATGGCTTTCTAGTAAAAAGTGTCCTGGCTTTGCATTTGTTGTTTTAATTTGACCCATAATGCTAAAAAAATTACTAGTAACATCTTGAGCTGAAGTAGGTCACTTTAGCTTCTTTTACTTTGAAATACAAGAATTCAGAATTATTGATTACCTGAATAAATTATCTGAAATAATTGTATATGTTTTAGTAGGGGTGAATGCAAAATTTGACATCTGGATAGATATAGTTGTCTGTTTAAAAATAAATAAATTAGAGACTAGGAAATGAGGGCTGATTGGGAAGAGAAAAACTTCTGGGCTTGTTGGGGTAACAGGCTAAATCAGAGTGAAAAAATACCTAACAGATGCCATACTGAAGTGCCACACATAGGACCTGTGGAATAATATTCTCACTTCATTTTAGCACCCTATAAGTCTCAGCTGGAGTATTGTGTCCAGTTTTTAGCACCACATTTTGAGAAAAATGTGAACCATTTCAGAGAGTCCAGAGGAAAGCTAGGAGACTAACTGGGGCCTGGAATGAGCTGGAGATAGCAGGAATACTTTCCAATTCTTGAATCAAATAGTGCTGGCCCATAGCAACGCCTCAGAGCCAGAGTTTAAATTCAGTTGCAGAGGTTTTAACCCAGAAGTATAATCTGCTTCTTCGTTTATGTTATAGAACACGAAGAAATCGCTGTTGCAAAAACTGTTGTCAATGGGCTGAGCAGCAATGGCCAAGAAAAAGGTGGGTTAAGAGCTTCAGAGACATCTCTGCAGCTCCCCCTGCATGTTAGCTGCGTGATGTGGTTGATTTCCCTGGACATTCGGTTAGAATGGGTTTCCAAATTTAGTTTGCTTGGCGACTGATACAAGAAGAGCCTTGTGCTGCACCATGCCAGCAGCAGCAGAATTTCTTAGCTGAACAAGTGCTCTTTGTCTCTTAAAGGTGGAAGGCTGGATTTGCCTCTTTGTATATTTTTTGTGCTGATTTGAGGAAAGCTGTGCACGACTTGTGGTGCTTGTGAGCACCTCTGAATCAGCATCTTAGTGTATTTAGACAGCAGGGGTTTGTGGGTGCCTATCTGTGAAACCTGTTAACTTCAGTGGGAGGTGAAGGTTTGAACCCCAATTTAAAGGACAGGAACCATTTGAGTGATACATTAAAAAATCTGCCATAAGCAACAACAATTTAAAAGCCACACTTATCTAAACAAACCAGTCTTCATGTTAACATCAGCAAGTTTGCAGTGTGCTTTATAGCATTCAATGTTATATAGTGATGGTAGGATGAAATGTATATGCTGGTTTTCTGCTGGTTTAATTTCCTTTCTTTTCCTTTGATGCCTTTTAATAGTAGTTAGTATTTTTACTGCACGGTGGACAGATTAATTCAGTCAGTTACAGAGCAGAATATTAGGGCTGTTTCCTAAACCACAGACTGTTTAGGTTTGGGATCTGTTGCATTCACAGGGTCTCCAGGACTAGGGAAGAACCATGGAGAATAGGGTTCAATTTGAGTTATTCTTTTATAATAAAATAATGTAGAACAATCCCATCAAATTAAAAACTAATAATTCTAAGAGGTTTGAAAAAGTTCTATCAAGCTCATTTCTTTTTGCTTGAGAGCCCTTTTTAGATAGGTGAAGTCTTATGCTTTCCAGTTTTGCCAGGGACCAGAAAGATCTGCCACAAGAGGGGGTGTACACACCGCCCTAATGTCAGTGCCTTCCTCAGGCTGGCCCAGTGTTCAGTGTTCGTGTGTGAAGTATTAGAAGTGTGGCTCCTCTTAACCTGATTTTGCAGGCATAAGAGAGGTGGCATACAATGCGAGGAGGCTTCTAGCATTTTCCAGTTAATATGTGCAGATATCTAATAGGTTTTAAAGGAGAAAATCCTGGCTCTGCAGAAATCAAAAGCAAACTCAAGTTATTCTGGTGGATCCATGATTGACAAGATGTTCATCTTGTCAGATCCTGTTGAGCTTTACCTCTGAATAGTTTGACCTTTGCCTACACCCACTCCCCCTCCACATCCACCTCCCACCCCCACTTTGTGTTTTTTTAAGAGGTCCACATTAACTGCAGTACAGAATCAGAGGGAGAAAGTGCCAGCTGTTTTGGTTGGTTTTGTAACAATTGCTGGAATTTTGCAGAGTGCAATGTGTGGTTTTCCCCTATGGTATTATGTTTACTATAATTAGTATGCTAGATGATGGAGTCCAATAGAAATTTCTTCAATTTACTGTTTTAATGGATGGATTTTTTTCTGAAATGGTATTTTGATGCTGCTGATATAGTCCCTTCGCATGGAAATATTTTCTAGGTTATTTCATTTTTCATTTCCTTCTGTTGTTGAACTTGTAAAAATGTGCCATAAAATCCAGAATTCATGTAATGTGGCTAGCTTAATGTTCATCTCTCAACCTTTTCTGTCCTTGTTTTTGTTCACTTAATTTTGTTTTAACTGAGCCATATTAATGTTAACATAACATTTTTTATTTTTGCATGTAGTGAATCTCAGCTAAATTGTTACTCTAAAATTTTTTGATGGCTTCTAAAAACTAATGCTTCCAGATTCTTTTTGGCCTGCAGCACAGTGGCTGTCAGCAGTTAGTTCAGGAAGCAGTTCTATATGCTGCATAAAACAGACATGTCCTGAATTAGGACAAATTAAGGGATATTTTTAACGGTTGCATCACTGCTCTCTGGACTGCTTTTGTATTTGAAATTTCCTGCTATTGTATCTCCAAGTACATTAGAAAATTTTGTGGCATGCTTCCCAAACTCTGTTCTTCTCCTTTTGGATGTGCCATTTACACTTTTGTGTTTGCAGCTGTTGGCGTCCCTTTATGTACACGCTCTATTTCTGCCGTTAAAATAATCCCTGTGAAGAAAGTGAAAAGTTCTCCTCACCTAGTGCTGCCTACAGGTATCTTCTTCCTTCATCCCCCTGCCATGCATTAGTTGGCCATCATTCTCTCTCTTCTCTCTTGCTTTCTTTCTCTCTCTCTGTCTCTCTGCTTTACCCACACGCTTTGGCTAGTTTTCAGCTTCATCCTATTCTCACTGTTTCCAGAGCTGTAGATTTCATCAGTAGGTAATAAAGTTAGCTCTTGATGGCACAATTATGCTGCTTCTCTGCAGACATAATTGTGTCTACTTGAATCTGGGATCATTCTGAGCTCTTCTACTAATGCTTGGTTATGAATAATATTGTTATTACAGCCTCATTTTGAACCAAACTCCTGATGAACCTGTGTATCTTTAGATTTTATGAAAGTAAATGGATATCAGAGATGATATTTTACAGGTTCAAGCATCGTTCAACATTGATGGAATTGTTTTGTTTTTCTGTACACAGTGACTTTACAGAGCCTTTGTATGGGTAAATAAGGATGTTAGGCTCTCTGTCGCCCCCACCACAAGCACATGTTTTCCCACTGAAAGTACAAGATTATTTTTGTACTTTGCTGGATTAGGACAGTCAGACTAGTCTAGCAGGTACTGCTTGTCTGTCCTAATCTGTCACTCATGTGCTCTATTGGACTAGTACAATGTTAATGTCATGTTTGTTACCATCTGCTGGATTTCTATACTGAGAGATTCAGGTTATTGTTTTGTCATTTCACCTACATTTTGAGGGAATTCAAGACCTTAGGTATTTTTCTTCCAAATTGGAATAGTCTGATAATATTTTATTTTCAAACCTTTTCAAAACATTTTAATTTTGCTGAATTCAGAACACTTTTTCTTAATTCTTACTGTTTTGATTTGATATACAGGTTTATTGTTGTATAAGGATAAAAAAGTGCTTTGATTGCCAAATTTTAATCTCCTCCAATAGGTTGGAGGCATTTATGGCACAGTGAACTTTTAAGTGTTTCTCTTTCTCTCCAGTGACTGTGAAAGGGAATCTAGGTGTAGGAGGCAGAACAGCTACCCTGCACTCTCTGTGGATGTCTAAATCAGGCCTGGTGGTCCCCAACAGTGTGTCCATGCCTCAGAGTTACAGCACTCTTGAAACTAGAGTCCCAGAGCTTAAACCTTTGTCCTCTGGTTTAAAAGTGGGTCCATAGGGTCCTAGGGCTTCATGTTGTGCTGTGTGGATGGGAAAATAACCAGAACTGGATTCCTGAGCAAAAGGAATCCTGACCATACCTGGATCACGCAAAAATCAGTTGGAAAAGTCAACTTCTATTTCATCAGGCGTGTGGGTGACTTTAAGGCATAATCAGTTGTGTGGTGTAAGTGCAAATGTGGTATGTTTAAGGATTAAGCAGCATTTGATATGTCTGTATGGGTAAACTTTCTCCTCACAGAAGCTGCTTAAATTCTACCTAAATTGACTAAAAGGCTGAACTGTAGGAAAGTATCTTCTGATTCTTTACTTATCCTTCCTTTCTCCAGTCTAAGTGTAGATCTGAAGCTGTGCTTTTTGTGAAATCTCTGGAGCATTTGAACCTGTGTAACAGTTTGAACTACAGTGTAGAAGCCTATGTAGAAGGCTTTTGATGTGAGCCAGGTGTTTGACATTTGTTGAGTCTTTCCCCCTACTGCTGATGTCCATCTGACACTTGCTATTTCCCTATATTCCTATACCTTGGCTGTGGTTTGTGTGTTTTGCAACCTTAGCTGAGGTTGTTGTCGTGGTCGATAGGCACTATACTGGTGTGGATTTCATTTATCTTACTTAGATCAGGCAGGGAATATTGATCTGCACAAACATGGACTGTTGTCTGGGCAATAAGCAGCAGCCTTTGCCCCTTCTATCCACTCTGAAGGCGTCACTGTCATTAAAATAACAGTTCCTGGAGAGGAGCTTCCCTGTGCAGAGAGAGCAGGATCCCCACCTCATGAAAATAAAAATCACTGTATTGTCATTTGTGTAACAGAGCACATGCTCAATACCATGTTAGGCTTCCCGTACAGTGTCATGGTGGGATTAGCATCTCTGTGCTGGTAGGCCAAAGTGAAGTCTGATGGCAGCTGCAGGGTCAATAATAGTGCATGAGAAAGGCAGGTGATGTGTTTTCCGGTGGAAGTAACTTTGAGTAAGTGAGAGACTTTTTAGGCTTATTTTTCTTATAGGTATCTTAGAAGAAATAACTCTCTAGAAGGATTTTAAGAAAGGGGAGAAAGATAGCCTTAAAGTACTGGTTTGTTATTACTTTATAGAATGATAGGAGGATAAAACCCAAATCTATGGACTGAAATGCATAAAGGTAAGCCTGCACAGAAACTGTGCTGAATCGATCCTCATGATCTGGTGTCTGCCTCACAGGGTGATCTGAACAGGTATATATTAAATCTCCTTCTAGTTTTGGGGATTTGGGTTCCTATGTCAGAAGATGAAATACTGCCATGAAACGGGGAGAGAGAGCAAGCAAGGCTTGCAGGGCCCTTGCCTTTAGATTGTAATCAGCATAGTTACAAGACTTTTTCCTCCAGTGGTTGCAAGACTATTTTTTTTCTCTTTCAGTCCTGCACAAAAGGCATTTTTAAGGCTTCAGCACACAAATTGTATTACTTTATACCACTGGGAAATCCTGTTAGAAGAGCCACAGGTGTAGGAGTAGAATGTCCTTGCTAGTACAGTATCTCAACAAAAAGCAGAACAAGTAAAGCAAATGGACTGGTGAAATTTGGTTCAAACACTCATCCTTTTTTTCTCCTTTCTTAGCTGTATTACACTGACTCAGAACTTACTTGTACGTTTATCATTTACATGAATATGAGACTGCTTTGATTTCTCAATGCTTTAAATCCAGAGCTAATCCTCATCTGCATAAACATTACTAGATGGATTAATCCAGAGGCAGCCATGCTAAAGTTACTCTGTAGATCTTTGATGACTCCTATTAGCTTTTTTTATCATCTGCTTCAATGTGTCTCCTCTGTGCATGTGCATTTCCTATAGAAACGGATCCCACTAAAGTCTGCAGTGGAAAAGGAGCTGTGACCCTCCGGGCATCTCCAGCCCACAAAGAGAATCAGAATATCACTTCACCACGTCCTCAGGATATTGAGCAACCTGAAAGTAAGTGAGTGGAAAGTTAAGTGGAGTGTTACTCACAATAACCGCAAGTGAGTTCAGACCCAGGGCCTTGGGGTGACCCAAAATCATATAGGATAGTCAGAAACCTCTTGCATGAACCAGACCAGTGGAAGGAGACTTGACTCCTGTTCTCTCCTAGTGCAGGTTTTGTGAGCACTCACTCATTGGCATGTGATTGTTTACAGCTCCCTTTTGCTGTCAGGAGCACCAAAATTTCTCTTGTTTTCTTTTTCTTTTTTTTTTTTAATTATTTTTTTTTTCCTGGCAGGCCTATGACACCTTCTTTTATGCCAGGCATGAGGCCAAGTGGTGCTACTGCCACCATAGCATTCACTTGGGTTGTCAAGGGAGTGGGGATAGCATCCCAGACAGTGTCGCCACAGAGCTCTGCCATCTTTCAATAACAGACGTGTAATTACTTAATTGTAGGAGACAGGCAAAGCATAACAAACCTGGCCAGTGTAGTGTGTTTGGCAGAGAGGGTGAACTTCCCAAAGGCAAGATGCCATTAAGGGGAAAAGGGGTCAAACTTGCTCTTGAAAGCAAAGCATACATCCTTTCTGACTGCATTGTTGGAGGAAGGGCAATTCCATTAATTCCAGCCCCAATGTGCTGCTTTCTGCTCTGTCTTCTCCTCCCATTCTGCTCCACCCGTGACCTACCCCCTTTTCATGCTTGCAATTCTCCGTTTCTTCTCTCCTACCCCCCGCCTATGCCTCTCTCCTTTCTGTTGATGGCTTCATAAATTTCCATCAGCCTGAATGGCAGTGAGCACATTACTATGGAAATCAGCTCATTAATACTTCCTTTGTTTACTCTCTCAGTCGCTTTATGAAATGTACTTTGGAGCTGGAAGTGCTTTTTGCATATAACTTAAACAGCAAAATGGGTAGAGTGGTGAGGAGGAGCCCAGTGGGAGGTGGGTAAATAGGTGACAAAAACAATGCTGCAGTGACTGGGCTGTAAAGTGACATTGCATTTTATAACTCTACATGCACACACATTTATTCTGCCAAACCTGATCTATTTGGCAATCCTTTATGTCAATTAATTGATATATAGTGATGTTGGAAAGGATAGATATATTTTCATTCCTTGTATTCATGGCTGATTATGAGGTCCCTACATTTCCAGTAATTTGTGGTGTCTGAACACAAAACTGCAGCTTTAGAAAGTAACTAGCTGGGCTGCCTTTTTGCCTCTGAAATAGGAATGTCAATGAACAATTGTTTCTTCATTGCTCTGAATGAATTGCCTTGTGTTTACAAAGGTCAAAAACAAGGAGGGCATCATGTTTAGGGTTGGTCTCTATGGTAATTAGGCAACCCTGTCAGAAAGCATTTTATGTGTGAAGTAGCTCAACTCTTCAGTTGGTACATGTTTTCTGTAAGTGTAATGGTTTCTTTTTCCTCCTTTCTTTTCCTTTATGTGTATGTGTATCCTCCACCCCCATCTCTTCTATCCTCCTTTCTGTGAAATGCCTAGGTCTGGAGCCAGAAAACCCAGAAACAGGTACAAACATTGGTTGCTTATAATGTGGCTTGTGTTGCTTTCTTGGAAGTATTTCTTGTTGCCTGGAAAAAGAAAAAAGAAAAAAAAAAAAAAGAAAAGAGACTCCCCTCCTGTAGCTGGAGGGAATCCTCTGTGATCTGAATTTTCCTTCTCCTCATAGATGATTGGAGGTCATCATCTAATGCTGAAGCCAATGGGGATGCCCAACCATCTTCTCTCGCTGCCAAGGGTTATAGGAGTGTGCGTCCGAACCTTTCCTCAGACAGCAAGCCACAGGTAAGCTGTTCTTCTGTGACCCTGAGGGTGATCTTCTGGGTTCAAGCACTGGATTCAAGGTCAGGAGTCTTGGGTTGAAGTCCAAACTTTGCTGCAGACTTGGGTAAGTTGCTGTGCCTCAGCTTTTCCTACCTTTAAAATGGGGACAATACTGATGTCAGTGGAGTGCTGCGGAGGTCGTGTTCAGGCACGTCATGCTGTTTCCTTGGTGAATGAAGGAGAAGGGACAAAGCTATCTTTTTGCAAGAAAAAGGTGAAGTAGTCATTATGACTGTTTTGTCTTTTATATTGGTCTGTTTCCTAGAGATTGCTTCAGGCTGAAAGCAGAGTTACACCCTACATTAAAAACAAGATATTGGGGAAATGTCTGTCAGTTTATAACACTGTAACTGATACAAGCCAACAAGGCAAAGTTTTTTCATACCTGAATGTAAATTGTTGAAGACAGTCTTTTAAGAAACATGTAATTTCATCCATTTCTTTTTGGGTGGTCAGTCTTCACAGAAGCAGCCTGAAAGCTGAGAAGGAAACCCTTCATTAGAAACCCCTTTCTTGTATGAATCAAAGTATCTTTAAAGGCTTTTTCCATATGAGGGTGTCTGCTCCCATCATCAAGGACCTATAGCAATGCCACAGAACAGACACTGTTCCTGAAATCGGAAGTGGAAGAGGGCATAACTCAGATAAGGTCTTGGGAAGGAGCAGCACTGGAAAGGAGAGACCCATTTGCTGCTTGATACTTAGAGCTGTCCTGCAGTCTGTTATGTTTCTTGTTGATGAACAGAGAAAGCACTGACACGCATAGTATTTCTTATATAGTCTCAAGGACTGCTGTTCAAACCAAGCTGAAATGGAAGAAAATGGAAAACAGCAATTACAGGTGGTGAATTAGTATTTCTTGATAATACTCTTTAGAGTTAAAGTAAGGCTTCACCTAACCTAGGGAAATGTTGTGTCACTCTCAAGTCTACAGTCTGAAGCTACGATCCTTAAGTAGTCAAAAGGAATAAGCCTGTTCCAGGAACAAGGAGTACTTATCAACTCTCTTCTTCACTCTCCTCAGGGCAAGAGGGGAAAGAGGGGCAGCATGGGGACAGTAGATTTTGGGACAGTAGCTGTAATTTTATGAAGCTATTCTAGGTCTGTATTCATGTAACAAGAATAGGTGCTGGCCACAACCTGTCATATGTGGATGAATTTTAAAGAAGATATTTTTTTTAGATTTGAGTGCTGCAAGCTGTAAAGGCATGTTCATGCTGTGGTTTTGGCCATTTTAGCAGTAACTTAGCCAGTCTTTGCCCATAAAGATAAGATAACAGCGTGTATGTAAAACCTACTTTCATAGTCTGCAGTAGTTTGCAAGAATGCAGGAAGCTACTGTTCACTAGGTGGGTGTTTTAGTTCTCTTCAGTAATTTAAAGTTTTCAGCTACTGGCAACAAAGAAATAAATAAAACAAGCTTCTCTATTACTAAGTTACTGGTTTGGCTTTCAGAAAAAAGTCCACTGTAGTCAGAGTTGCAGTTGGCAGGTGGTTGTGGAGGTAGCAACCTAGGTATTGCAAAGTACCCAAACCAGTAAAGCTTTTAAAAATTATTTGCTAGAAGCAGGATTTCTCTGTTGATGATCTTGATTCTGGAGGCAAATTCTTATGAACTCAGTTCCTTAAAAAACTTCTAATTGTTCTAGCCTTCCTGAAATAATTTTCAGTGCTGAAAAAATCCTGAAGAGAAGTCAAGAGCTAGCTTTTAGAAGGAAGAAATGCTAACTTTTTACTTAGCCAGCTGTGGCAGGCTATAGTATTCACATGATGTCTGCTTTCATTAGCAGTGGTGAAACTTTGCAACGTTCATTTTTTGGCAGTGCACTTAACATGCAACAGACATAGCATAGAGCTCTGAATTTGGCTTTGCGATTCAAATGTCCCCAGTGCTGGGAAGTATTTAACTACACACGCATGAACCTGGGTTTAGTTAGCCAGGATGTTACATCTTAACTGAGGCTTTCCCAGGGACATGGTGGGTGTTGCTGTGCAGGCCTCTTGAAACAATACAGCACTAAGATTTATTTAGCCCCGAGACAGAAATCCGTAGGCAGAGACTTGAGGGCTGAGTAGTCTGCCTGCTGCAGTGAGTAGTGCTAAGACAGAGTGTGTGTGTGAGACTATGTATGTGAGTTCGTTCTGCACTGGCCTTCCAGATACTGTATTTGCTTTTTGTTCTTGCTGTGTTAAAACCTGCTTAACCCTAGTCTAATGATCAAATTCATTCTTCAAATTTATTTTTTTCCCTTCCTTTTCCCTTTCATTTGATCCTGCTTCCTCTTGCCCTCTCTTTCTTCTTGACTCTGCCTGGGCAGGCCCTTGCTCCTCCCCGTCCTCCTCTTCCCAAAGAGGAAAGCTTTGCATGGCGTCCTCGCACTGACACTAAAATGACCAACCTGTTGCCAGTGCCCATCATGGACTGTGTGTACCTGAATGCACCCAAGCCTTATACACAGCGTGCATCACCAGATGCCAGTGCACGGTGTTACTTCTCATCACCTACCCCCTACGGGGCCATCCCCAGTGGGAAGCAAGGCTTTCCAGCAGGGCATTCTCCCTCTCCAGGCCCCAAAGATGAGGTGCATGCTGGGCAGCCACTCTTGGGAAGTCGCTCCTTGTCAGATGCATCATCCATACAGTGTAACCCTGACAGGGCAGATCCCAGTAGTAAGGCTGGAATGAATTCCAGTCATGAGACGAAGGCGGATAAAAAGGTCACCAAACTATATGTAGCTTGTTTATCTAACAGCACTTGCTCAGCTGCATCTGAAAATTCCACTGGCACCACACATGACCTAGCAGCCAGCACCAGTTTGGACACTGAGCTCACTCAGGCACCAGCCACCAACGTTGTTTCCTCTGTAACAGATACTGGAAAGTCTCTTCCTGCTCCTCCTCCTCCTCCTATTCCTCCCAGGCCGTACTTTTACATTGTCCTCAATAAAGACGCAGTTAGTTATGGTGCGGGCCAACCCTCCGGGACTCAATCGTCACCTCCGCAAGCTGTGAGGGACAAAGTGCTAGAGCCCCCGAGTGCAGCTGCTGCAGAGGACAGGATGAGAAAAGAGCCTTACCTTACTCAGCAGCGACAGACACCATACAAGGCAATGGGACGCAGCATGGTACATGTTTTCTCCATAACCTTGTTTTCTTTCAGCCCTATGAATGGTTTGTTACAATGTTTCCTTAATGCTTTATTCCCCTCCTACCTTATTTCTGAGCACTTGTGCCACCTGAGTCTTGTGGTCTTCTACTCAATAATACTTAACACCCCATGCGTGCCCCCCCAGCATCAATCTGTGTGTTTGTGTGTGTGTGGTGTTTGTAGGGTTATGGGTTGGGCCACCGAGGATCTCTCTATTTTAGGGAGATGTAAAAGAATCAAACTGTAAGGTGATGGTTAGTGCTTCTCAAGTGATGGTGAATGCAGAGCTGTTCTGTGGTTTGATTTAGCCTTATTGCACACTACTGGTGAAGAGGGGTGGTGAGGGGCAGAAAGATTTTTGTGAAAAATCATCTATGTTCACAGAAGCCAGGGCTGCAAGACTGAAGAAGTATGTCTCCCTAAGGAAAGATCTGCTGGGGCTTCGTGTCATTTTGGGTGCATCTTTGCATGACACTATATGGCTGGACTAAAGTACCAATTTCCCCCATTGCATAACAACACCTTGTTTCCTACAGGATGCCACTGCCACCACCACAGCTCAGCCTGGGGTTATAGTAGTCCCCCTCCTCCAGGTTAATCCAGACAGACAGCAAGAAGGCAGCTCCAGCACTCCACCACCGCCTCTGGTTCCTTTTGGGCAAGGCTCCGTATTCCCTGAGACCGTTTCTTCTGGCTCACCCTTGACTTTTCCGACTCTAGATGATTTCATTCCCCCACATCTCCAGAGGGGTTCCCACCATAACCAAGCACCCTCTGCATCTGGCACATTACCCTCTGTTTATCCGAAACTGCCATTCTTCTCATCACCACCTTCACTTGTCCCTCCAGTCACAGGGGCTTTGCACAGGGGCTTGAAGCCTGAAATCACTGGAGTCATCTCACGTACAGTAAGCTTGCCAAGTACCCTCCTCGCCCTTTTCCTAAATTTGTATTCCCAGATTAAAACGACTTTCTCCTTGCAATACTAAACTTGAGAGAGGAGTGATGACTCACTCCCTGCCAGCAGCATGACAACTGAAACCTTGTTTATGTCCTGTGCTAGTGCATGCATGTTGCCTGCCTTGTGCAACTTTGAACTTTCTATTGACTTCTCACAACAACATTCGACTGTCTCTCTTTGTGCCCATTCCACTAGGTGATGCGCATCTTAAAAATCTGCACAGGGCTTGCTAAAAATAATGAATTCTATATAAACAGCATAGCTACAATTAATGGATCTCTTCAGGCTCTTTTAATAGCATCCTTAATTGTGTTTGAATAACATTTAAAGCAGCAACAGCAGACCAGTTAAAGGTTAGGGCAGGCTTTCTGTTCCATTTGGAGCCACAAGACCTCATTGTCTCTGCGCAATTCGCTGCTGAAATCAGTATAAGATTGCTGCCAGTATCCGGTGACTTACAGGCAATAATATCAGTTACTGAGCTAAGAGTCTTCCAAGCATGTCGGTGCTATGGGATAGGTAACAGTGAGAGTGTCTCTTCAATTTCAAATTGCTTATATTTGAAAATTTTGAAGAATTCTGTTAAAAAATACCACAAGAATTTTAACCTCTTTAAGCTCATCAGCTATTTCAAAAAGTCCTCAGGGATAAGGAGGAAAAGTAGCTCTCAGTTAAAGCTGCAGAGGAGGTAAAAATGTCTGACTATACTTGTACTGGAAGTCTTATACCCATTTTTTTTTTAAATTTGGTTGGTTGTAAGGGCAAGTAAGAAGCTCAGCAGAAACCTTGTCCTCTCATGGTGATGGTTTTTCTGCCCACTGACTCTGTAGAGATCTAGCCAACAGGCATGTGGGTAGGTAAAGAAAAAAGCAACCAAGGATGGTGTTTTCAAAAGTTGTCAGCACTGGCCTTTCTGCTTCTGTTGAAATTGATATTTTTTTTACTGCAGAGAACAAAGGAGAGCTTGGGGGGTTAGTTGTGGGGTTTTTTGTGTTGTTCTGTTTGGTTTGTTTTTTCTATTTTATTTTTTTTTTATTGAGCCTATTTGCAGGCTCCATAAAAAATTGGCATGCATCATATTCTAAGAGGACTAGTGGAAGTTTCGTTGTACCTGATGTTCATGCAGTGAGAGTTTTGAAACTTTCTTGGGCATGTCTCTTTCAGGTATGTGGCCACAGAGCTGTTTTCCACAGTGATTTACATGGTCTTTGTTCACCCACTTTGGTCACTTAGCTGGGGCTGCTGAGCCTCTCCTGATCTGATATTCCTCTTCTGTTAGGGGTTCTTTATATTTTTGTTACCAAAGTTAAGCTTGACCCCAACTCTTACACTTCTCCCTGACTCCCACTCCTTTTCCCAAATTGCCTTGTTTGCAATATTATCACAGCCAGAAAAACGAGGCTGGGTTTCTTTCTTAGGGACATCTATTTCTGAAGACCATTGATTCTTTTCTGTGCTCATGAAATGTCTGTGGCCTGATCAGATGCTGCTTGGAGCACAATCCCCTCCATCCAGCAGAACAGGATTGTTCTTCCCTATTTTCTTTCTAGCCTGGAGAGACTGTAGATGGTTGTTCTGTTTATGGCCAGTTCTCACTATGATTTATCTCTGAACTCTGCTGCCAACCCTCATTTTGGCCCCTGTTCAGCCTCATGACTGATGCTGTAAGTTTTTTCCTCAGAGTTGCACTTGGTTGGAAAAGCCAATTCTTCAGGTGCAATATTCTGTTTATATTCAAGGGTTTTTAATAGCAATTAAAATCTCCCTGAATGCTCAATTCTATTTTACACATCAATGGCCTGCAGCATTTTACCCTGACAGTGAAGTAGCGGGAGTGCAGAAATCTGGTACGCTGTTCCATCCTTGTTTGGGTGCTCATTCCCCCTTCAAATTCCTTAAGAAGCTTTGAAAAATACCAGCACAAACTGGCATACACAGTCTTAGTGACTGTCCCTTGTTTATCTTTTCCTCTTACTAGCAACAAAAACCCAGTATATCTGGACTGAGTGGTTTCAAAGGTGAACTAGTTTTTAAAGTCTTTCAGCTGCCACATGCTCTATTTCTACAGAACAGCCAGAGCTATGATGATACCAGAGGTGGGTTTGAAATAGGCAAATAGTGAAGCTTGATGCTTTAGGAGAGCAAGAGCATCTTGCTATCCATGCTCTGGTGGCAAAGACATATTGAGTATGTTCCTTGCTAGATTCCTACTTTTTTACCCTCTATCTGTTTTCATTATTGTAACCAGGTAGCCGTCACATTGTCTCCTGAGTGATGGGGCATTATTCTTCAGACCTTCTTTACCAAACCAGCTGCAGTAATGATGTTTCACTCCAGAATTGCATGAGTTGTGCATGTCTGACTTCTTGCAATAAAGGAGAACTTGTAAAACAAATCTTTGTGTGTATATGTATCAGGTTAAATATGTCTGCATCTTCCCCCCTCCCCCCTCCAATCTTATTTGCTCATTTCTGGCACCCTGTATTTGCTCCAGAGAGTTTGCTGGATGAATTTAGTGTCTCCTTTTGGTGTTGGAGTTGTGAAACCCAACACCAAATAAATATAGACTGCCTTAGTAAACTAATTGCATTAACAACAAGCAGGGCACCTATAAAGAGCAGGGTAACATTTATGCTTATGCCTTTTTTACTAAAATTTGCTGTGATTATGCTTCTCATTCAGCTTAAAATGTGCAGGTTTTTTTCCCAGATTTTCCCAGTATAGCAGTCTTCTGCATGCTGCTAATGATATGCTGCTCTCCTTTTCAGGACCCAAGTCCTATGCTAAATGAGGTGCCCCAGCCTGGCACTGGTACTGACTATCCAACCACCTTCACTTCAATCAACAAGTCTTCCTCTGCCTATCCCTCTACCACAATCGTCAATCCCACTATTGTCCTCTTGCAGCACAATCGAGGTAAGGAGACTTGCATATAGATATTTGTGGCTTAAGCTGAGCCACCTGTTAAGCTACAAGGTATTGGAGAATGCATGTGCCATGGACAATTATATCCAGAGTACTAAGAGCTAAAAAAGCTGCCTCCAGAAAACTATAGTGACTGGAACATATGACAGGCAAGTAAGACGTTAGAGGATTGGGACAATGCCTTCTTTTTCTAATTAAAACCTGTGGATCAGAAGCCACTCCGAGGTTGAGGAAGAGACTTATAACTGGGCTATGCACAAATTACTAGGTTATTTCAGGGTAACAGCTTATCCCCCATCAGGTGTCCTGCATGATGGAAAAGGGTCTATGCTCTCATCTCTCTGTCAGTAGAAGCACGGTAGCTTGAGGGTAGGTTGTATGTTTCTATGGAAGGGGATATGTGACTTCTCAGGTACTGCAGTGGGAAAGCAGCCATATTTTCAGTTACTGGAGGAGGGATTTGACCTCTGAATTCTCAGCAGAATTTGCCCAATAGTAAATAATACCTGCATCTCTTTACCTCTGACATTAGAGGGAAACTGCTTCTCCTTTTTAGTTCCCCTGATGGTTGGCATTAACCCAACCTTCCAGTTCATTGTGCATCACTTAAGACTGTGGCTTATAAAAGGGCCACAGAGGTGCAGTACGATTTGCCTTGTTTTCTAGTGGACTTAGGAAACTCCAGGACAGGCAAATTTCAGTCTACAACACTACGACTTACCTTTTGCAAAGACAAAAAAAAAATCAGAATAGGGCAAGGCCTGCACTGCTGATATTGTAGCCATTCAAATTACAGGCATGCATTGATGTGCTCCGCTGAAGCCCCTCATATATTTTTTTAAGCATATTTTTAAAACAGAGTTCAGTCTTTGATCCTGAAGATTGTGTCCTCACTGTAGTGCAACTTATTATAGGGCTAATGACTGGGTTATCTCTTCCTTTTTGCCAGCATCTGAAGCAGCTTTGCTTATGTGCTTCTGAATGAGGATGCCCAGATTGCTCAACTGCTTCAAGTGAAGGAAACACTACTTGAGGCAGCCCTTTTTTATCTCAAAGGTTTTTGTTGATTTTCTTGAGGTGGGGTCTCCTGCAGGTTGACTTTTGCATTAAATCTGGAGCATTCTGTTGCGTACCACACAAGGAGGTTTTCTCTCTGTAGATTTTAAGAGCATGAGAGACAAATCTGTGTAATATGATGATCCACACAGACTGTCTCTGAGGCAAGTGATGTCAAATTGTTCTGTTTACTAATTGCCTTCACAGTTAACAATTTGTCCTGTCTAAATGTTTCATCTATGACCATTAGCACTCACAATATTCTGATAGACTGTAGAGCCATCTCTCATCAGATTTTTGTTCACTGTGATACAGATCATGGCCTGATAAGCAACTTAATTGAGCCTGTGAAGTATCTCATTCTAATGTGTAGTTTTCAGTCTTTATTAGTCAAACTGACAATTTGCAAGAATCATATTGAACTGGTTTGACAAGGCATTTTAGTCATAAATCTGTGTTGACTGATATTGCATGAGTCATACTATGTATTAGTAAAATCCTATATAAGTAATTACAGTATATTTTCTGTAATTATTGTTGACTTGACAAACAGATGTCCCAGCCATCACACTAATGCTTTTCGAGGGTTGTCACAGGATTTGTTTTCTTCTTTGTCCTGTGGAGCTTCCTTTGTATTCTAAGAAATACTGAGGGTTAATATTAATGGTCCAGCGAGCTCTTCTCTTTGTAACTGCTCTCTTTAGAGCACAAAAAGCTCTAAAGCTCTTCAGTACAGTTTATATGAATGTGCTAATTTTCAAGCATTTAACCTCAGTTGTCATTCAGCATAGTCCTTAGTTACAGTTGAAGTGGAAAGCATTTTGCCATCAGGCAATAGGATGTCAGACTTGGATTGTTGTTTTTTTTTCAAATGTAGAATGGAAATAGTAATCAGATGTGTCATCTTCTCTGTGCTCTTGTTAACACTGTGCCTGTTTGGTAAAAGAATAAGATCATTGCTTGTTTTCTGTTTATTCTTCATGTACCTCAAAACCTATTTTTGAGGTTCTGAGATGTTCTGTTAATTCATTTACTTCCATTGTAGTTATTTTCACTTGCCAACATGTTATCTACTCATAGATATGCATTTTCTTTCTTTTCCATCTATTTATGTATTTGGGGTTCCTTACAGTTTCTTATGCTTTCCATTCCTATCTAGGCTTTATCCCAGCATAGCATTAAGATTTCCTTTTGCTAACTTAGTGTTTTTAAATAGTTTTCAGATCTTGGGTATCTGTTATATTTCTATTCTGATGGACACAATTTATATTTGGTTTCAGCTTTGTGATTCTTATCTATTTAAAACTTGTTTGGTCTCATAGCATATGACAAATTGTTACTACGTTATGATCCACCTTCCACTGAGTCATTAATTCTGTTTTGTGCTGAAATAAATTCCTCTGTGTCAAGATGAGGTTTAATATAAATTCCTCTTTTGTGCTATGAAATACCCTCTGAATTAGAAATTTCAAGGTCATTCTAATGCTGGCAGTCTGACATCTCCAGTAGTTTAGTTAGTTTTTCAGATGGATAATGGGCCTTTTTTTTCTTCTCAGTAGATTATTGATTGCTTTTTAAGGAGATGGTTATCTTACTCTCTAGAGTGACTATCCTACCAGACATCAGCTGCTGCCCTATTTTACACTTTATCTACTACCTCATTAATCTGTAGGTATGTAAGACCCTTTATTTTGGAGCTATAGGAGACTTAGAAGAGGTAATAGCATTTGAAGCACAGAAACTGCACTATATTATTTTTTATCTGCTTGATCTATCTGCTTGATCTTGAGTAAGTTGTGATGAGAGATCTCAATTTTTTCAACTGGATTTCAGTAATACCAACTGAATAAGGCCAATGTTTATAAACAAGTCATTTCAGATCATTTTGTTCATTCCTAGCACCAAGATAATGTTTTTTCCCTTCATATCTGTTGGTGTCTTGATTAATTTTCCTTTTGACACCTTTATTTTGCACTAAACATGTCCTCAAATACTTGTTTCCTCTTCCCATTTTCTTACAGTTTTCAAGTCTTAGACTCTTCCATTGCTCCCTTCTCTGGGATCTCTGAAGGCATCTATAAGCATTCC